AGTTGCCAGTAACAAAAATTAATGGGTAAATTAAACTGGCAACGTTGACAAAAAGAAACAATCACATAAATGTTGGCTGTGTGAGCAAATACTAAACCTAATATTATCTAAAGACTAGGGTCTTTTATACACAATAATACTTATACCATCAGCCCATCCTCTTATATATAATATAAAAATATGTTGCTATAATAGTAACAGTGACACTTCATTTTGGATACAAATATAATGCAATAGTTTTTTAAAGTTTTTATAAATGTCAATTATTTATTATTGATGAGTTCTTCCACTTAGAATTAAATACAAGCAGCAAGTCTAAACATGAAAAAACCCTAATATTATATAATTTTATCGGGCAAAAACTATTTTGAAACTGGCTGAAGAATTACTTGGCCAGTTTGAAAAATTGTACGAATTTCAGCCAACAACGAAATTAAAGCAACTCAGTCGGTGTTATATATTTTATTTACGACACATAGTGATAAATTTGCTTTTTCAACTCGAAACTAAAATTACAAATTTTATACCAATATAGCAAGAAGACACATATGGTATAGGGCGTATCGAAAATGTACGAAATTTTGAGACCCATTTTCAGTACAAATTGGAATGCATTACGATCTAAAATTACCTAAATTTAATATGTAATATGATTTTGGAGACGATGTTAGATAAAATTTTAATTTTATAAAATTTTATAGTTCGGCTTAGTCTTAAAGCCATTTAATATTTACAAATAATTTATAAATTGCAATCAACAATATATTAATAAACGGCAACACTGGATAACGGAGCGACAAATGCTATTGGCAATATTTTCAGTATACAAAAATTATCTATACCAAATAATTTTTATAAATACGGGTGTTAAAACATATCAATATCTCGTAAATATTTTAAGTAAACTATATTAAAAGTACTATTATATTCAAAATTATTATCACATACAAATAAATAGTAAATCTAGCGGGAAAGTATTTTTTTAAACAAGACCTGCTTTATATTTTTAGCTTATTTTTGGGAAGGCAACTTAACTGTAGGTTTTTATATAAAAAAGCTGCTGAGGAACAAAATTGTATACTTAATCCAAATGCCAACTTAAAGAGTTACTGAAGTTAGACATAAACGTTAGAAGTAGGATTTAATATAGATAGCAGAGTGAGCTGTGAGTACGGAGAAATAGTAGTGAGGGATACGTTCGCGCATGTACACTTCTCAGCGAATGTATAACCACATTCAATTTCTTTGTCCGTCGCCTTTCTACTTTTATTTAATAGAATTAGGGTGACAAACGAGCACACAGTCCACCTGATGGTAAGTGGTTGCTGTGGCCCATAGACATCTACATCTATCCTCGATTAAGAATCAAAATGCGAATGTCTTAGGTGTGTTAGAATATCTCTCAATACCTATGTCCTAAGCGTCACGGTAGCTGAGATATGACAGTTACAGGGTTTTTTTTTTTGAAAATCACCCGAAATCTTGCCTTTAAATCGTCATAATTTTTTGTTTGATTGTAATACCTCGAAATAGTATGAGCTGTATTGTGAAATGTATTGTTATTCTAAATAAATCATTACTTAATACAATTCACTAAAACAATAATACATCGTGATTTTAAAAAAAACCTATTAAAAATCAAGCTACAGTGACACTAAGGTCATACGGTCTACCGGGGAAATGTTACGTACAAACACCCCCCCCCTCAAATCTTGTGATCTATACGCCCAGCATCCTGTATGTAAATGACAAACCGAATCTTGAAGATTAACAAACACAAAAAGCGCTACTTATTTAAACATGATTACAACCATTAAACAAATAACTGTAACAATCAGATATGTCTCACTGTCCCCTCTCAGATGAAAAAATTAATTCAAACTATGAATTAGTTTAGTTTTCCTTATGCACATAAACGTGTAACATATGCCAAGTGCCAACATTTTACTGTTTTGACAAACAAACATTTTATTATGGTCAAAATAGCGTGACAGGCCTCCATCGTTGACAGTTCCGCGGTAACCAACTTATTTCATTATCTATAATAACAACTATGCTACATGTTTCCCTATGATTAAATCTATATTTATATAATTGTATATTATAATATTTAATTTACATTACAAAATATTATCGAACAATTATCACTATCTACTAGCAAATTCAAGAAACAACACGTTATGCAAATTGCAATTCTATTTTATGGAGGACACTAGGTTTTCAATCTGGCAATGATAATTGGTTAGAAAATTAATTCAAAATTAAAAATAAAATTCTTGAAATATTATAAAATTATAATTATTTCTAACGTTTAAAAATACCAAGGCGTTTATTGTTTATGACTTAGATAAAAATGTGGTTTATCTAAGCGATATAACATACCTTGTTAAATTTAACTTTCAGAATTACTTTTTCGAATTATGAAAATGTCACGAATTAATGGATTTGGAGCTGTTTTGTTAAAATAACTGTAACTATTAATGGTGAAACCCCTTTTCGATATACATTACATTAGGTGCAAAAATAATAGCGCATTCATTTGCGTTCACATGCGTAAGAATATTGCAAATAAAACTGGCTTTAAGTAAAATAAAGCCTTATTCGCGTCGTGTAAAAAGAACGCTGGTGGTTAAGCTACGCATCAGGCGATGTATTGGTTTGTTTGGGCGGGCGGGTCACGCACCGCGTGCTTTACGGTACGCTATTCGTTCGTCACTCGACCTTTGGCTTTTACGCACCGTGTCCACGTTACACGTTTAAACGTTCGTTATCAAAATACCATCGTGCACAAAAGATTTTAATTACGAAATCGTTTTACATAGGAAAATAAGAAAATTATTTACGATGTATATTGTTTTATGAAGAGGAAGGCTAATAATAATGCAGCTGATAATTTAAAACAATATATGAAACGGACCGCAGAGGCAACAAAATGTTTCCGAGTTTACAATAAGATGAATTATAATAAGTTCAAAAGATTCGAAATTTCTTACTGTCTTTCCAAACTCCTTTCAAATAAAAGAATCAACCAAAAATTTTGACCAGGGTGTTATAAAAATAATAATCATCCAAAATTTCCATGTCATTGAAAAATAATTGCCTACCATAGGCAATTAGCGAAGGAAGTTAAAGGTGACCTACATTTCTAAGAATCTACAGCAAGTCAGGCGAATATAAAAATAGAGTTTTAAGTGGAAAAAAAAACATAAACCAATAGAAAAATTTTAATTGAGCAGTCACACATTTGATTTCAAAGAATTGAACATTTAAGACCATTTACACTTTTGAACCATACGTCGATAGCGCATCTCAACATTCTTGGACAGACGGTCCCACCAAACTACCAAAAAAAAACCTCTATCTAAAGGTAGCCGCTTGGTCATAGTGCACGCGGGTGGTGAAACAGATTTTGTGCCGAATGCTTTGCTGACGTTCAAAGCCGTTATACAAAAGGCGGCGACTGCCACGACATGGTTTCGAATAATTACGAGCGGTGGCTTCATACTAAGCTGTTGCCGAATTTACCGCCTAATTTAGTCTGCACCAGCTTTCAATACAAAGAAAGCAGGCATTCAAATCTGGCTCCGTCAAAAAGGAATCGAATTTGAAGAAACCATGCTAAAGCCGGAGTTGTACAACTTAATGAAAAAATACAAAGAGAAATTTAATATCGATGCCATATTAAACGAAGCAGGCCATTTTGTACTTCGTTTGGCCCCATATCACGAGGACCTAAATCCTATAGAAATGCCTGGTCCTAAATAAAGAGATAAAGAAAGGCTGATTATTGTAAAAGCGATCATGTGGTCGACATGATGAAAGACATTTATTATTCGCGTAGGGGATGATGATTCTGATATGACTTAAATGAGGAAGAAAGTGCAAGTGACACACACACCTCCTCCACTTTCTTCGATCGTTCTTTTTACAGGACGCGTACTATATTTTTAATATATCATAATTGAAGCCCGTAAATTAACTTTGACAATAATTATACATCTTTTTACGTAGTATATTTACTACATTTTTATACGTAGCTTGAACTTCTAACAAAATATAATAACAAATATTTAATTTCTGTAGAGCCTTTGTTGAGGCCTGTAGATATGACAATTGACTATAAATCTATACATAATAAGAATTATTAGTGAGACCTTTGTAAAGCGTCATGTTGGAGTTGTAAGGTAGTTGTATGTAAATAAAGTATGGGCACAATGTATGCGCTTGAGGGTTAAGTAATCTTTTGATTAAGGTACCTCAGAAACAAAAGAAATATAGACAGAGCTCTGCGTACATTTTCTTACATGCACTCACGCACACATCTTTTTTTCTCAAACAGCCCGTAAAATTCCACTACTGGAGGTACAAATACGCACCTAAAACAATGTTGTTGGTTGTATATGGTGTTACATATATGCGTCTACTTGAGTGATGTTCTTACAATAAGTTGAGCATGATTTTGACTTGGTTTCAGCGTCACATGGAATGTACGCAGCGCTCCATCTTTCTTTTTTGTTGGTCTCAAGGTATAACCGAGTCAGCCTTTTTTACCTAGAACGCAACCGCAACGAGGCTCTAAAACGTTAAAAATCAATTTACCCATTTTAAATGAATAGATTTGATACTAATAGGTAATCAAACACTTTTTGTTTTGGTTATATCAATTACGTAGCCCTTCAGATTAATAGGTGCGTACGCCAGTCAAACGGCGTCCATTAATTGCGTTTTAGATTCGGCTCGACTCCAACCCCCCACCCCAACCCCCGCCGTTTATGTGAAGCGTTTAAGCCTCACGTAAGTAATAGACGAACGCTCATAGGCGCGCGGGAAAAACTATTCATAAATTATGATTTTTTTAATTTAGTTAATGATGGTGCAGATTTTTACCGGATCGTTAGTGTCAATTGTTAAGGACTGGAAGTTTGAAGGGATCTAAAGATTTATGGAAGGGGTGTAAAGATGAGTTACCATAGTGTAGCCGCGGGTGTGTATGAGTGCGGTCAGTTCGGCAAGGGAAAACCGGTGAAGGAGACGGGCTGCTCGTTGGCGACCAGGTTGGCACGCGGCGCGGTCGTCGGCTGCCCCAGCCCAGCCTCCAGCGTCGCCGCCGACGTCCTCATCTCCTCTGCTGACGCTCTACAATATCACAATACCAATGTGATGCATATTTCTAGTACGGTTAGCAAAAACAACATTTATATTTAAACGTTAGAATGTGAAATTAACAGATATTGTAGATTTCAAAACTAGAATCAGGCGTTAATTTTTGGAAATCCCTTATGCTATAGATCTTAACCGCTCGTTTGCTTCTTGCAACCACAGTTGCAAAAACAGAATCCTTAACTTTGCTCTTTGCAACCGTGGTCGCAAAGCGACGAAGTTCTTTTAATTGAATTTAGACCATATTTTAAACGCACAGAGTCTAACTATTACGTATTGAAACCAAAAAGGAATATATAAATCATAGATTTGGATCAAAATTACCAACCTCTCGGACGAAAAATATCGAAACTTTGTTAGTTTAAGTTTAGTAAGTGAAGTGACACTTGAGTGGATTTAACGAGGTGAGAAAATATGCCGTGAGTATTGAATTTTATTAATTTTTGCTAATATTTATATACCAAATTAATGTCTTATTAGTGTTTTCTTGTATTATAGTAATATTTGAAAATGACGGTTACAAAATTAAAAAATTGCAAATACTGGATAAAAATGTGATAAAATCGACTTTTAAAAATACTCAGAATGACGCGAAGCTAAACATAATTTTCTATAGCTTACATTATCGTAATTATGTTGTATTCTTTAAATATGAAATAGTCGTAGTGGTATTTGAATATAATTATTCAATTTAAATAATAAAGTTTATAAATGGTTCATCATATTATAATATATTGTGGTAATAAAACCGCCCGGTGAGTTTTTACCTTGTCGAATTACTTTTGCCACTCTGGTTGCAAGAAGCAATTCAAGTGTTTTGGCTTAGGAATGGCGCTTGGTGGATTTTTGAGCATGAAATTTATTTTGTGTTTTTTGCAACAAATATTGTGGTGTAAGTGTGGTGTTATGTGTGGTTTTTTAACAATAACATCTTAACTTTTTTTCGTAACCAAAATTTTTCGAACAGCAGCGGCACAGTGATAGGTGGGAAAAAAGTGAAGCTTTCATTTAGGGGATGGTGACAGCTTAAGAGTTTTTTACAATTCCGATTTTTTAATTTATTTTCAATGTTTTTTTAATATAGTGGACAAGGTAAATGTAATAATGAAAAAGGACGAGATAGAGGACGAGGTAAAAGACTAGGTCGAGGCCAAGGTACAGGTCGAGGCCCTGAAAAAGCATGTGAGAGCAATGATAAGCTTGTAATACCAATTACTAGACTCCACATAATTAGTAATTCATTTATGGGGCAATGTATACGCTTTTACAATGAAGTCCCAGAAAATTTACAAAATGTGTCATTAAACTAGTTTAAATGTTTTATTAAAGAAAAATTGTACAAAAAGCGTTATTATAATATAAATAAATATGTACATAAATGAAAATAACCCCTGGGAATTAGGTGATCGCCGCTATGCTGTTTCTATAAAAAAATCATACAAAAATTACACAAAATAAATTTATTGTTAATTAAAATATGTTAATAAAAAGCCCGCTGGGTTTCTTGCTGTTTCTTCCCAGGACAGAGGTTTTTTTTTGCGAACCAGTAGTAAATAAAAAAATGATTTTCAATAAGTATTATACAATATAGATTTATTTAATAAAAATCATTCATTTCATTTCATGAAATATGGCATACTACTATGGGGAAACGCTGCCGACATTGAATGCCTCTTTGTGTTGCAGAAAAGGGCTGTTCGGACTATCTATGGTATGAGGTCAGTTAGTTGATGTTGTGCCAACCCTAGCTAAAGTCGGCCGCCATCTTTACGATCCGTTCCCCAAGCAATCGATCTCAGCGTTTTTGAGAACATATTTAGCCAGATTTATTTTATTTTGTAATATAACATAACTTAAAAGTTTCCTAATGTTTTGAAAACTTCAGGACTTTGCCCGTTTATTGTATAGGTGTAATTGATTGCGTCGTGAAATGTATTTCCAGATTTAACAATTTAAGTAGGCATTGCAAATTGGCTAAAAATACGCCACATGCTTTTAATTTGTACATTACGACATGAATTTATAAATAATCATTTATTTGTTTTTAATTATATAAAAGTAAATGAAATTTCCTTTACGAAGGTGGCTATATTTTTGGTCTACGTAATCAAGTTTTTATGTAAATCAGCCTAAGAAATGCGATCAATTGCGCAATCCGTGAATTCTTCATCAGGTTTCACTTAATATTTTTACTATCTTTTTTAAATATAAATTATTTTATAATATGGATTTAAATATATCAGGTAATTCATTAAGTTTAGGGATATAATGAATAATCACACACTTATCGATCTTATTTCTTTACTAAACCCAATGTTTTACAAAGAGTCGCTAAAATGGCTTGTACTTGTGATTTCAACACCTCTAAAATATTATTGTAATCATATTTCGATAAAATAACATAAGCAATTTCTTTCTTATTTTTATGGCTATGCATAATATTTAAAATATTTGAAGTGCTCCTCTTGAGTAAGTCATAAATTAAGTTTTATTGACGGCGGGTCGAACGCGCGAAACACTGTCCCGACCTACTGGCAAAGTAAGCTACCAATTTTTTTTACGCAAGCAATCGAGCGGTTAAGAAGAAAATATCAAAGATCCGCTTAAAAAAACGCGGATTTTTTACTTAAAATTTTATTTATAGAATAAGGGTAATAAGCAAGCATACAGTCCACCTGATGGTGAGTGCATACAGTAGCCCCTAGACATCTACATTTATCAGATGTGTTGTCACCCTTGATAGAATAGCCTTTTTGTGAGTTGAATGACTCTATCTAAATGTATATTTAAATATAAAAAGGAAAACATAAATTAATTCTTTGGCGAGGATACCAAAAATGTTTTATTTTTCCTTAATGGAGAAGCAAAACGTTAGGATATGCTTATTATTACAGGTGTATGGGCACAGAAAATATTTTTAAATAACAAAAAAGTCATAATTAAATTATAATAATATAATAAATTAATAAAAAAAATAAAAAATTCAAAATATAATGAAATTTGCAACAGGATATGCACCGAATATGTTTAGAATTTAAATTAAATTTTGTGTCATGCAAGTGCAAACATATAGAATCTAGTCTAAACATGTACAATTAGAAGGTCTACGTATCAACCAGCCCAATAGCTATATTTGGCTAAATAAGGATAAATTTTACTATAATTTTTAAAACATTTTATTTCCATGAGTAAAATTATAACAGTAATTAAAAGCATCTTGTGAAATAACAGCTAACGTCGCAGTGGCAAAAAAGTATTAATAATTTTAACATGTTCTTCTCGTGATTCAGGATCAATTATACTGGAAGTACTACCTTTGGTTAGTCAAAACGAATTATTATAATTCGACCAAAAGCTTAGTAATTTAGTTAAAAGCTGGCATTTAACCACTTCAATTAAATGGCTTATCTTTAAAATAACTGGCTGATCAAAATAATATACACAGTGGAGTTATGATGAGCTGTGATCATTCTTAAATATTCTATGACTAGCGATTACGCATGTTTACAATTGGGCCGTGTTGTGCAGAAACATTTCAACCCACAAAAATATTAGATTTGAAAGATGTATGCACTTTTCTTGTGGCATAAACCCTATTATATCATATTATGTATATAATTTTATTTATTACTTTTCAGAAGTTTTTCATACTTGAAAGTAAATTGTGAAAATTACCACTCGATCATTATTTTGGCCTCTTTGTAAGTCGGATCATTTCTGCACAACGCGGTCTAAATTATAACTGTATAAGTAAAGGGGACAGAAAGTTATAACGCAGAAAAGGTTTATGAGGTGTTTGGAGCAAGTAAGATTCCACTACGCTATAATGCGTGTAAGCAGACTTCACGTCCCCAAAATATGTTTCTCCTTAAGAGGATAGCTTGAAAACAAATCGTAGTTTTGGGGTCGTGGATTATCCCTTTGTCGCTGGACGACTGAGGGAGTGTCAAAATGAAAGTGATGCAATGACTTCATAATACGCAAATTATGAGATAACTATACCGAACACGCGCTCGGTAAAATACTAAGTAAGCGTCAATGTTTTTTTTTTTAAATAAAACTTTGTTAGGTATTAAAAAATGCTTTATGAGAACTTAGATATTATTTACTACGCCTTAAAAATAATTCCATGAAGTTATTCGTAAAAACATTGTGGTGTCATGGAGAAATGTAACTTATTAGAGCCTACTTTGTAATTTTTTTTTCTATCTAGAAAATTGCATGTAAAGGTAAGGTGTAATCTATAAAACTTAAAAAAAATAATGTGCAATAGAAAACCCATCAAATTTTCGAGATATCACCTTAAGTAAAGAGTAGTAAGTAAAGAGTTGATATGCTGGGAGTTGATCTCACAAATGTTATTATTTTTAGGTTAGGATTATTCGTCACCATAAGTGATTCGTACTTAGTCACGACAGACGTACCGCGGTAATATGCGAACTAAAAAGCAAAGTATGGATAATTAATAGAACCAGGCGTTACTTTGCGGAAATCCATTATACTAAATATGTTAATAATTAATAAGCTACGTATGCAGCAAACCAAATTGCAAAAAAGTAAAGTATGGAGTTTGACAATAAATCGTTGCTAACGCCGCAAAGGGGCGACCCTCAATTTTTCAGAAATTACAAGAGAGCAAGAAAACATTTATTATTCCCCAATTACTAGCTTCTTTCTTATAGTAATAAAAAATTATCTTGTTCGATAAACGTTTTTAATTTAGAAGTATGTAGGTAATGTAGATGAAATTACAAGAGAGCAAGAAAACATTTATTATTCCCCAATTACTAGCTTCTTTCTTATAGTAATAAAAAATTATCTTGTTCGATAAACGTTTTTAATTTACAAGTATGTAGGTAATGTAGATAATTATAAGTATTATAATATCCAAAATTATTTTATTTCCATTTTTGTGACAATCCGTACATGGGCGGCGGCATAGTCTGACATCAAAGGCGTTTTACAACTGTAAGGTC